CGCTGAAACCGTGCAGCCATTTATGAGCGCCTTTATTTCCCTTCCCTTCCAGCAGCCCCTGCTTTAGGCAGGAAGGTAAGTTACGCACACTCCAGAGACTTTCCCAAACCTCCTGCCGATGTGGGACAATCGCCTGGCACATGGCTCACTCCCCAGCGGCGGGCGGCGTGGGTGGGGGGCTCTCTGGGAGTTTGATTCAGCAGGGCCTGGGCTTTGCATTTTAAAACAAATACCCCCACATGAGTCTCACGGTGGAGATTGGACAAATATTGCCCTTGGCCACAGAAAGCACAGACCCAACGTCAGGCTGCACATTTCAGACATGATGTCTGCTGACCCCAGCGGACAGGGAGGGGAGGCGTCCACACAGCAGCTGCTCCCAAGGTCTCCCAGACTGACCAAGATGGAGACAGGTCCAGGTGACCGCCGTCTCTCACATTCACGTCCCCTTCTTCACCGGTCTCAGCGACCAAGCTTCTCCTCCACGGGGCGCCCCCATCTGTGTCCTCTAGGGCTCTGAGGGGCCCAGCTCGTGGGTCTGTGGATCCAGTGAGCGGGCTCTGCGCCCTCAGCAGCAGCTCATCTCGTCGGCCAGGGATTGGTGGTCTGGAGTGAGCATGAGACACGAAATGACCCAATCACAGAGCCGCGTGGGGCTGGGGGGCTGAGCAGGAAGAAGCATGTTCTTTCCTGTCAGGGATGGGAAGACCGCTCTACACCCAATTATGGCAACAGCCAGAGTCTGCTGAGGGCTTCCTGGTGTCAGACACCTCGCTAAGCACTCAGTGTGTGACATGATGTCATGTCATCCCTTGCCACAAGCCAGGAGGTAGGTCCTACGATCATGGTCATTTGCTGAATGAGGACACTGAGGCTGGGAAGGGTCAGGGATGCTGCCCCAGGGACCACAGTGCCAGAGCCGGCCGCCCCATGAGCTGAAGAGAGAAGCCAGCCCCGTGTGAGGAAGAGCAGGGAGTGGGAACAGAGTCTCACGACCGAATCTGAGCCCTGATGCCAGCTGTGTATAAAGCTAGGGTTACCTCGGCGCTTCTGGGGTGTGAAAGTCACAAAGTCCCTTCTTTTCTCCTGATGCTGGTTTGAGATTCACCGTGTGCCCCCAACCCCCCCCCCCTTTCTGTTGCTTGTAAGAAAAAGGATCCTGATTACTTTCCAGTCCTTCTAGGACTGGACATTTGTGACTTGCACACAGCAGCTGCTCAGTAAACACCAGCAGATGCGAGCAAAGGCTGCTCTCGCTTCCCACCATTCACGGCTGGGTCTGCAACCCTAACGCCCAACTGCGGCCAGCACACCGCCTCTTCCCCTTTGGCTCCAAGAGAGGCCTAGTTCCTTAGCAACCACCCCAATTAGGCAATCACGCCATTTATCAGGATGCCAATTAATTATAATGATCTTAATGATCTTCCAATTAGGTAGCGCCTAGAATCCGGATGAGGGGCACTGCAGATCTCCCCCACCACCACCTCCAGGGCCCGAAATGAGGAGGCCCATGGAAGGCAGGACCCGGAGAGGCTTTCCTGGGCCACCGGTCAGCATGGAGAAGGCCCCACACTCCATGTCCACTCCACTACCCAGGCCTGAAACCATGTGCTCAGACCCCCTGGGGCCACCCCTCCAGGGACAGGCCAGTGCAGCTCCATCAACAACCACAAGAGGGCTCACTTCCAGGCGAGTTTAACCTCTCACCATTGCACTTTTCTGGGGTGCAAACCTTCCCCTCAGACTTCATGGCTTTCCCTGTCAGCCCATTTGATGTGTCCCTCTGTGTCTGGACTAGAGGAGAGTGCGTGATTGCAAGGAGGTGATGTGGCCAGGCAACCCTTGTTTTCCTCTGGGTGACCCTCCTCCAAGAAAAACCCAAAATACAAACTAAAGACATCCCCAAATAACACAAGTTTTTAGACAGAAGTGGGATTACCGAGGGGCTTCTGCCTTTCAAAGTTTTATTGTCTAAATGTTTTTTTCTGCTGCTCATGTGTTTTCCCCACATTTAGACAAAAGGCCAAGGTCACAGAGGGAGGACAGTGCCGGGTGGGGGGGCAGAGTGGATCTGGAGCCCCCAGGCCTCTGGACCACTGACTCGACCGCAGACCAGCAGTCCCCAAGTCACGAGTCCCCCTTTGTCAGTTTCCTCATCTCTAACCTAGCCACAGGGCCTACTGCACAGGCTCCTGGGCGGACTAGATGAGAGATTATGTCTATGGTAGAACAGAGCTTGGCCCATAAAACACAACATAATGTTCTGCATCATCTGAGATGAAGCCCTTTCTGGGAGCGGCAAGCTGGTCAGAACTGCAATATTCCTCTGTAGGACATGGCTCTGGTGAGGGGGAGAAGTTAAGAACAGACCTGACAGAGTTGGGTGACATCTTCCCCATTCTGCTACCTGCTGAGACCAGGAGCTGCCCCCTTGAGGCAGGTCCAAACATAAATCAAACAGACCCCCTGCAACAGGGACTTTCCGCCCCGCATCAAAAGCTGAAGTTTAAGCATCAGGATGTGTGACCAGGTTTTGGGGCGGCAGGTGAATGAAGCTGTTGGGCAGGGAACCCACACATATATGTTGGGGCATGTGCACATGCATAACCACACACATCCGCCCCAGTAACATAGAGTTGCCACACATACACTCTCACACATATACACACACAGCCGCACACATACAGACACGGTCTGCCCCAGTATCACAAATACACAGACAACCACACACACACAGTCTCTCATACACACAAAGCCACACTGTCCTCCAAGTCCAGGCTTTTTATAATCAACTCATCACTCTACCCTTAAGTCTGAAAACTTAACATGCTATTAGGGTTTCAAAAAAAGCCACAAATTCAAATAAAAAAAATCCAATAAGTATACACAAAGCCCAAAGCCCAAATCCACTCACCCCTGAGCCTTGGCAGTTATGCCGACACTGAGCATTTATGTACACAAACTTGGCCCGAGGGAGGCAGATCCTTCTTGTGCAAACGTCCAACCTGCATCCTGGAGCCGCCACCGTGGCCCTTACTCGAGCTGCTTATTAGAACACTAAATTACACACCAGCCGGCTGTCTGTAAGCTTCTCCTCCAGGACGCGGGACAGGCAAAGCTGCGGAAGCTGCCTGAGGAGGTGAGTGGGCTTCTGCCTGCCCCTCCCCCTTTCTATAGGCAACGACTTTAATTGAATTAAAACCCTCCAGTGGTTCTGTGATGGGGGGCGGGGCGCAGAGCTGCAGTCAAATCCCCTCACTATTAAGTAGGAGATGAGAGAAACTTCCTGTCCCCGGGAGAGACCCTGGAGTCCTCCAGGGGATGCCCACCCTACCTGCCTCTCTCGGGTCCAGAGAACCCTCTGGAGAGCAGGCTCCCGGCTCTGGCCCAGAGGAAGGGCGGGCGGCACTGTGGGAAAGAGGCAGGGGACAGATGGAGGGGCAGAGGGCGGGTGTACGACATGCACAGATGTGCAAATACCCAGATTCAAGCGTAAGCTGAATGTAATTACTTGGTTAATTAAATATTGACTTTTAACTCAAAAAGTGATTAAAACAGGACTGTCCAGAAAGGAGAGGGGGCAGGGAATGCATCAGAACTGGCAGGATGGGGAAAGAGGAGGATGAGGGTTGCTCAGTGGAAGGCCTGGCCTGTCCTACTGTGCGCAGGGAGCTGGTCTTCAGTGTCCAGGCAGGCAGGGAGCCGCAGAGAGGGGTCACTGTGCAAAAGTGGGCTTTGCAGGCGTCCCCTTACAACATGTTCCACTCTCAGCCCCCATCTCCTCACCGGGCTGCCCTTAGAGTGAACAGAGCTGGGAGGCAGGAACCAGATACTGTTCACTGCCTTTCCTGGAGCATAAGGGGTACCTGGCCCGAGGGGTGCCTGGCCCAAGGGGTGCCTGGCCCGAGGGGTGCCCCATCAGTGCTTGCAGAACTAATGAATGAGCTACACTGGTGCAAACAAAGCGCACTCCTAGAAACCGCTGCAGCTTCCCTGTCCGATTTCCAAGAGCCTCGGGCGCCGGGGCGCGCGGCGCCTCTCTGCAAGGGATGAGGACGGGCTGGGACCTGGTCTGGAGGAAGTTTGCCTTTTCAGTCCTGTTTGCCCTTTCGCTCTCTGGGAGTCACTCTGAGGATCCGGTCCACCACTTTTCCGCGTCCTGCCCAGACAAGCCCCACGTGGTCTGGCTGCCAGCCGGTCCGCTGGGTCTAAAACTCAAAGGGGTCAGCGAGGCCATTCCCGGGCGGCCGGCGGGCCCGGGCGCGCTCCCCACCCCCGGCCTCCAGGGCTCGGCGCGGCGCCTCCGCGGGCCAGGGGCGCGGTGGGGCGCCCTCCTGCGCCCCCGGCCCGCCGCGGCGCCCAGCGGGTCATCCCCCTGCGGGCGGCCGGCGCCTCCTCCAGCCGCGCGGGTCCCCTCTCCGCGCTCCTGGGGCCGGCGCGGCGCGGTCGGGACCAGCCGGGCTCACCTGGGCGGCGCTCGGCGCCGCGCTCACCCCGGGCAGCTCCGGCCGCGGGGAGCCCCCGCCCCGCCCACCGGCCCTCGCGCCCCACTCACCGGCGCGCACGGCCCTGGCGGTCTCAGCCCGCGCGGGGCGCCGCTGCCTTTGCCGCAGCCCGGCCGGGCCGCGGGGCGCAGGGGACTCCGCGCTGCTGCCGCCGCCGACGCCGCTGCATCCCCGGCGAGCGCCGCCGCTGCTCCGCCCCCGCCCGCCGCCGCCTCCCGCCCCCCGCCCCGCGGCCCGCGCCGCCCCCGGCCCCCGCCCCGGCGCGCCGCCCGCGCCAAAGTCCGGGTCCGCGCCCCGCCCGGGCCGCCCTCACATCGCGCGACCCGGCCGGCGCGCGGCTGGAGCGGCCCCTTGGCACCGCCGGCCCGGCCCCCGCTCGCCCGCCGGCCCCCGCGCGGGGGGAGGCGCGCGCGGGGCGGGGAGCGCCAGGCCGGGGAACGCGGGGACCCCCGCTCGCCCCCCGCGCGCCCTCCCCGCCGAGCGCCCGCGCCTTACCTCCGCCCGGGTGGACGCGGCCCGGCCCGGCCCGGCGGCCCCGGCCCCCCGCGCTGGCCCCGAACTCCGGCCCCGGACGGGCGGCGGCGGAGAGCGGGGTCCGGGCGGCGCTCGCTCGCCGGGCGCCTCGGGACCCGCCTGGCCGCGCTCCCGGCGCCGAGCGCGCACCCAGCCGGGACCCGGACGCACACTCACCCCACACCCGCCCGCGCGCCCGAGGCGCAGAGTTGAAACAGCTGTGGGCTTCGCCGGGCGCTGGAGGGAGGGAGGGGCGCGAGCCAGTCGCGCGCGTGTGCGCGCGTGTGTGTGTGTGTGCGCGTGTGTGGCACACACACGGGAGGGCATTGCTCATAAATCAAATATCGCAATAAAGTCGGGAGGACCCGGGAGCAGGGCCGCTGAGCTGGAGGGAAGCCCGTCCTCGCCTCTTGGCCGCTCTCTTTTTCTCCCCGGAGCGGGGAGGCGCCGCGTGTTCCGCGGGGCGCGCGGCAGCTCCGGCGCGGCGCTCCCCGGCAGTGACACGTTAATAAATGTTTTCTTTTATCTGCTTTCACAAGACTCGCCCGGGTCTGCAAACACCCGACCGCCCGCGCTGGGAGCCGCGCGCTCTGCTCCCGCTCCGGGCGTCTCCAAGTGGAACCGCGCGCCGGCGCCCGGGGCGGGATCGCGGGGGGCTCGGCCCACGCGCTCGGGATCTGCCCACGCGCCCCGGAAGCTCCCCGAGACATGAACTTGAGCTCCAGTGGAAATAGCTGCCTTTGCCCAGAAATGGCCCGGGAGCAGGAGAGAAAGGAGCACCCCGCGCCCCCGAGAGGGGCGGAATTCGACTCCAGGTGGAGCTGTCTACCGCGGTTTCCAGCGCCCCCGGCGCCGCCGGGGAGGTGGAGGCCGGCGCGCGCCGGGGGTGGGCGCAGGAGGCGCAGAGAACCAACTAGTAGATTCAGAAAGCACAGCTGAGTTGTTCAGGAGAAATAAACTCGGCACTTGCAGGAGCCGCGCCTTGCTAAAACAAATAGCAATCTTGGAAAGTGGGAATTATTACACCCCTGTTGCAGAGGTAGCGCGCCAGTCACAATGAGGCCAAGGAACTGGCCCAGGGCCACACAACTTGAAGCGGTAGACCCAAGGCTTGGCCCCACATGCTTGGTTCCTGGGTTTATGCTCTTAAACCCCAGCTCACTGTTCCTTTCCAAGCCAGCGCCTCTTGTCTGGAGTATAATCTTCTTTCATGTTGCTTAGGGTTGTCACGTTTAATAAATAAAAATGCAAATTATGAGGATATGCTTATACTAAAACACTCTTGTTTATTTGATGGATGTCCCGACCCTTTTGGGTGTTCTGCACTCTCCCACCATAATGCCTTACTTCCCCCAGATCCATTTACCAGCTGGGTAAATCAGAAAAACCTGGAATTTGCTTTGGTAATTAAGATTCTGGCTCTGCCTTTGGCAAGGCTGAAGTTGCTGATCTGCCCTCCTTTTGCTCGGAAGGAAATCTTGAGGATCCAGTGTGGATTTTCACTTAAAATGCATCTGGATCTGACCAGCCACCGGGCTTAGGGGCTCCGGTGTTGGACTCAGAGGCTCCACCAGCCTGTGGTCTAGAGCTGAGCATCCCCACCGAGTTATCTCATGTAATCCTCTTAACCAGCTTTCAAGAAAAACGATGCTTAAAAAGGAAAGGGGTCTTGAGCAACATCGGTTTCCAAGTGGGATTTTCACTCATTTGGAGATTGTGCCTTTACTGGGGACATGTATTCCCTGCTGCAGCAATTTTCTGAGTCCTCAGAACCCTTGTGGGTGACTCTGGGGCCCCCGGCAGGGTAAAGAGGTAAAGCTGCTGGGGATGAGATGTCTTTGCCTCCTTTTTTAAATGTTGGGTTCTGGAGATTATTTCAGAGGTGGGCCAATTTCCACCACAAAACAGTTCAAAACCATACTTCCTCCAGGCCTCAAATTCAAGAACCTTTCCTGAAATGGGTCCTGCCAACCATTTTTCAGTCCATCCTTCTATTAGGGAACTGGAGTCATGGAGAGGCAGCTCAGGATCCCCTACCCTATATGGGGCTGCAGGCGGGGCTGAGACGGTGTCATTTGATTATCTTTTTGGGTATTTATTCTTTCCACTGTTGCTGTCCCAAGACCAAACATGGAAATGTCTGTATTTTGCCCCTGATTCTTTGTTATTGAGAAAGACACAGATGCTGTGAGTGTGTGGAGCTGGGTGTGTGCAGACGGGTGCCTGTGCACAGGCCTGTGTGTGGGAGTGCTGGTGTGTGGGTGTGCAAGCACACGTGTGTGAGTTCACTGTAGGCAGGTGCTGTGGATCGGGTTTCAGGTTCAGACATACATAATTCACTAGCTCAGACAGTCATAGGTCGGTCAGAGGGTCTGCAAAGTGTTTCCCATAATTCACAGCAAACTCTCTGAGGCCTCGGCCTGAGTTTTTGAGGTTCTTCTAAGCAGATGGGGACTCTAGCTAGCTTCGTTTAGGAGCTCAGTGTCTGCCTGGGAGATAAAAGGGGCCCAGAGGTCCCCCCCTTAGCAGTCCTCAGCCTGGGCCTGCAAGGGGCCTCAGCAGGATTCTAGGGACTCTCAGGCCCCTGATTCTCTAGCCCCTACCCCACCCAGCCACATGGTCTGGGACAGCCTTTTTCCTGTGTCTCTCAACCCTGATGTTGTCCTAGCTGGATAACCGGATCTTTCAGGCTCCTCACTCCGCTCCCTTCCCTCCCCCCTTGTTGATTTAACCTCAAGGGGACCTTTCTCTTGACACCTACATGCCTCTGTCCCTCCTTCTGAGAGTTCCTTGGCGGCCCTTTCATGCAGAACGCCATCTGGTTTAGCTACCTTGCAAAGTCACAAAGTGGTTCTATTTCCTTGACTCCTGTGCAACAATTAAAAAAATTCCTGCTTTGTGTTTATCACCATCAAGGGGTTGAAACGCAATCTGATTGTCCGAGCACTTCTGGCTGGATTTGGGTTGGAGTGGATGGGATTTTATGAGGGTTGTAAAAGTCAAGCTTTTAACATGTCTCAAACAAATTGGCGTGTGAAGGAGAAATGTTCAAAGTAGAACCAAGGCTGCAGACAGGAGGCCTGGGAACACGTGCCACAGGACTGGGGCACAGGTGGCTTTAATAAACCACACACGTTTGGCAGTAACTCGCTTCTACAAAAGCAGTAGAGGCTGCAGAATCACCCTCAGGGTTTGGGATCGAACTTCTGAATTCCTGTGTGGGGATGGTTTTGCATGGGTTTTAAAATACGAATCCCAGCATCAGCCATAACATTATACATGGCGGTTACTTCTGCTGAGTTTTCATTTAGACCCAACCTGCCTATGTTGGTAGAAATGCAATTGTGCCGGAGAAAAACTGTTTCTGCTTCTTGAGATATTGTGATAATGAAAAACATCACCATAAACCCCCATTAAGTCAAAAGAACATTAATTGTGTTTCATGCTGCCTCCTTGGGCTAGTGCGCTGACACAGACATGCTTTACTTCAGCAAAACAAGGCTAATCTCTGCAGCACGGTACCCATTCCCCCCCCTTAATTACACGTAATTGTATAGTCTAATTTATTCTAATGCCCGACGCCTAAAAGTGCACAATCATGAATCAAGGGTTAGATGGAGAGGTAGGAGAATTATAAACGGGCATAATTGCAGTCTCCTGTGGGCTGCTTATGGGCGATCTCAAAGAACGATGGTGTTTACTCTGAATTCTTACCAGTGAAAGACAGCCGGGTTGCCTCCTGTTACACACACACAGAGCAGTGACAATTTGTCTGGTAGCTTAACAATTCACCAATAGTTCTCTTGGATAAAAGGGCAAGAAAGATGAAGTATGTGAACTTCAGGTAATTGGTGATGTGATGAAACAGACACACCAGCAGCATTAATCCACGTGTAATTGAGTATTAAAATGAGTCACCCCACCCCGGGGCTGCACAGCTGCAAATCTCTGCGGACATGATAGAGCTCGTGGGCCTTGGTGGATGGTAGTTTTCTAAAGCGGAAAAGCAGGGTCCATTTGCTCATAGGGCAATTCAATTTGGTCCCTCTGTGATAGCACATCTTGTTTTACAATTGCCTTCCAGAAAAGTCATTTTTGAGCTTCGATTATAATTAATCAATTGTGATTAAAGTGGGCAGTGATTTAGTAAAAGTGGGGTGATGACTTCATGCTGCCCCAGGGCCGAAGTTCCTGCTTCCCCTTCTCCGTCCCCACTGGCCACGACTCCTTGATCTCCTCCGGCCTCAGTCTCCTCATTTTCAGAATGGGGGTAATATGGAGAGCGCGGCTGGCTGTCGTGGTTTAGGGGATTGATGCAGGTCACGGCTGGCTGGAAGGTGCACAGCAAGGGTTCATCGATTCAAAATCAGAAACAAGCCGTCCAAGTCCTGTAGGGAGAGGCCTCCACCGTCTCCAAAACCTGGCTGTGACAATCCCAAGCAGTTGCTGCGCCGAGGCCAGAGCAAACCAGATGGTGCTGTGCCCACGCTCAAAATCCCTCCCTCTTAGATGAAAAGCCAAATTCCTGAGCAGGGTCTCAAGAGTTCCATGGTTCTGACCCCATCCATCTCTCCAACATCTTTCTCTGCTCTTCTATTTTCATTAGGAAAGTGTAGGGTAAAGAAAATATCAGGCTTTTCTGCCCTTCCGCCATCAGGATAGATGGTGGATCCTTGTCCTGAATGCATGCCTGATGGCGGGCACCTGGAATAGGGTGTGGGCATAGGTAGATGGGATTCAGCTGAGCTAAGACTGTGCTTTTTAAGGGCGGCGTCACGGGGACGCCAGCAGCAGTAGAAGCTGAAGCAGCAGTAGAAGCCGAAGCCGAAGCTGAAAGAGAAGCTGAGAAGCAGCAGAACGAACTCCAAAGAGCTCAGATAGAGTGAAGACTTGCTGGGGGCTGGGAGGCCTGCCAGCCTCCCAGCCCCCCAGCCAGCACCCCTGCCTGCCATATGCCTGGTGAACCCCAATAAAAAACCTGCAAAACTACTGAGGACTCTGACTCCTCCTTTACCCGGTCTGCATGGGATCAGAAAACCTGCACTGTGCCTGGTCCTGCCCTTACAGAAAGTTTCAAGAAAAAAGAAATAGTACAGTGGACACACCACCCACTCCGCCCAGAACCAATGATTGTTAATATATTGCCACGTGTGCTTTATCATTGCTGAGTCATTTGAAAGGATGTCA